ATGTGGAAGACAAGATGAATTTTCATACCTACCCTTTTCCTATGCAAAAATCCATTCCCTCAGAGGAGGGGCACTCATCTGAGACAGGGCATCTGCTTGACTCAATCTTCTTTATTGAAAGGTTAATCCCATCCTGGTACCCTCTCACAACTACAAACGTGGTTTTACCAAACACTAGGACAGCCCAGGACCCGGTCAAGTTGACAGATAAAATAAACCATCACACTTGCTGAGATCTCAGTGCTCATAGATTGAAAAGAAAAAGAATTAACATTAAGAAATAGCTACTGTCACTCTTTACAATAGCCAGAATCTGGAAAAAACCTGAGTGCCCCAGAACAGATGACTGGTTAAAAATACTTTGGTACATTTACACAATGGAGTACTATGTAGCTGTTAGAAAAGATGAAATCATGAAATTTACATACAAGTGTACTACATGGAAAGTATCATGTTAAGCGAAATGACTCAGAAAGAGCGGGATAGACACAGAAAGATTGCATTCATCTGGGGAACATAAAGCAACAAAATGGGAGACTAACACCCAGGAGTGGCTGAGATTAGTACCAGGAATTTTGCTCCATGACTTGGAGGGCAACCACATGTGCTAGGGGAAAAGGAAGCTCAGATAGAGAAGAGAGCACCAAATAAAGGGTGTTGTGAGGATCCTCCCAGGGTGGGAGAAGCATGTTGAAAGTAGACTATAGACCAAACATGATTGCCACTCAATGCCTCTCTTGCAAAACACAGGACCCAAAAGAAGAGAGAGAGAACAAGGGGGAATGCCCTGTCACAGAGGCAGGGTGGGATGGTGGGGACGGGGGGTGGGAGCGATGCTGGGATCCGTAGTGGTGGAGGATGGGCACTGGTGGAGGGATGGGTACTTGTATAACTGAAACCCAAGCACAAAAATTTGTAAGTCTATAACTGTACCTCATGGTGTTTCACTAATAAAAAAATTATATATATATATATATATATACATATATATATATATAAAAGAAATAGCTACTGTGTACTGAACACCAAAGTTCTTGGTTATTGTAAGGAGCACTTGGCCTGGAGAGACTCATAGTCTATTTGTGGCAAGTCCACCAGTTAAGTGAGAAACTGGGAACTCAAATCCAGACCTCTTTGATTACTGACACCATGCTTGAGGACTCATTTACTTATTTGTTTGGGGCGGGGGAGAGGGTTGGGTTACATCTAGCAGTGCTCATGGGTTATTCCTGATTCTATGCTCAGAAAGAACATCTAATAGTGCTCATCAGACCATCTGTGGTACCAGAGATTCAATTAGGGGTTAACAGGAAGTAAGACAAGTGTCCTAACCCCAGTGCTATGTCTCCTGAACCAAGAACCCTTTGTAAGCTTATGCTACATCATCAATATGATATGAACTGAATTCCTTGATACCTCTACATGTACCACCTTCTCCCACAAGGTGTATGTTGAAATCCTACCCAACAGAACCAGATCAAAAGCCACCTCCTGTATAAACTCTTGACCTCCCAATCCAGCAGGACTCTTCCCTTTGAACTATTCCTTACTTGGTAAAGGCTTAGCTGATTTTTGTTGTTGTTGTAACTAAATTAAGAAAGAAGCTTGTTTCTTCCTTTCATGTAATTGTGGATGGGTGGTAGAGTTGTTTTGTCATTCTTAATTTTAGCCTTTCTCCTTTGAAGCCCAGGCAATGAGTTGTTCCAGTTTTCATTATTTTCCAGCCATCACAAAGGGGAAGAGTACCACGCCACTTCATACCCTTTTCCTTTTAACATTATGAGCTGGAAATGGCACATATTATTCATTCATGCTTATATGACTCTGGCCAGAATTTGGCCAAAAGGCCACACTGCACTGCAAGGGGTAGGGGTTAGAGAGGCCATGCACTTTGCTAAAACTCAACCACTGTGGAATCACAAGAAAACAAAGGTTTTGGAACAATTAGAAGTTAGCCACAAAAACTCCTAAAATATTAGTTTTCTTCCACGGGGTGGTGACACACATTTCTCATTATAATAAACTGCATGTAAAACCTTTGTCCCCTGTAGACTGCTAATCCCCTAATGAAAGAATCCATTCCACCATCATGCACTCAACCATCCAGCACTAGATTAGATATGTCAAGCAGAGACCTTTAACAGTTACTCACATAACATGCAGGTTGCCTGTTGTTCCATTACTATAGCTTATAAAATGGAGCACGCATTATGTCTATCCAAGTAATTTACTGATTGGCAATGTTTTTCAAGCCCTGGTGTTTTGATGGCTCTCAGATTTGGGACCCTATCCATGTTTCTATCTACTCAAGTGGAACTATCTCCTTCCTCATTAAAGGTGAAGGCAGAAAAAGACACTTTGTAGAAAACACATTTGTTCGCATTTTTTGTCTTTCTTCTCCCTGAAACTAGTTCTGGTCCCTGAAAGAGCCCTGTGCTGCCTGACCCAGTCACCTCTGAGGGCACATGCATGCACCAGAGGGGCAGGGAAAGTAGGACTGGAAGTTCCCTACCTCCCTTTTGTTGAGGTTATACTTCAGAGATTTATGTACATTTTGGAGAGATTTTTTTGGACTGCTCTGTACATTGCCTAATGGTGAAGATGGTTTAAAGGGACAGGATGAGAACATTTTTCCCTCTCTGACACTATGGGGATGACTACTGGAGTGAGGGGGATTCCTTCAAAGTGTACTGATGGCTGGGCATCCAGCCATGCCTGAGAGCATCTTTATCTTAATGAGCAGCCATTCCATCACTTGTATTGCTCCCACTATACTTGCCTTTGGAGGTTCTTCAGACATGATGAGGTGCCTCATCTGTCCACACCTCTCATGAACTACCATACCAAATTTCTTGCCGGATGGACGCCAGACCTTTGAGGAGTTTCTCCTAAATGAAGGCAGGGTTCAAAGCTTCGAAAGACAATTCTTGGAATCACTAGATGGTTGCTCCCAGCCTTGTGAGCCGATTGGGCACTTGTTACTCCGTCTTTTTCAAGTCCTGTTGAGAAGCAGTTATGAAGGGTGGATATTTTAGATTGAGGTGGGGATTCTGGGTGAGGAATCTCAGCCAGGGAAGCAGGCCAGACCTCTCTGTGAAATGGAACCCTTGTAAAGGGCCATGACCCTCTGCTGGAACTCCACAGTTCTAAGGTGACTGTTAACTTTGCATTGTTAGGCAGTGTTGGCAATTTGCCTATAAAAAAAAAAATTAGCATCGTAATAGTGCTACTCTAGTCATTAAAATCCTGAAAGCCTGACTAATTACTACTGGACTCACTCCAAACTGCACCATTTCTGTAACAGTAATGTAGCCACACCAGCAAAGCAACTTCAAGAAAGAAAGGAAGCTGAGAAATCTAGAACTGTCAAAAAATTATAAATTAGGGGCGTCTATTTACTAAGGTTATTATTAAAATTTTATTTAATATAAACAAACCTCTAGCTGGGTTTAGTCTTCTGGGTCTGTCGATTGACCAATCTTCTCAGAATAACCTATTTATTCTTTTAGTTGCCGTTTTCAGGTCTACTCTATAATATACTAGGGGTCAGTAAACAAAGTGAAATAACTCTTTCTATTCACAAAGAACAGATTACCTCTTCAAAGAGACAAAAAGAATCTTGTAACTGATTTAGGTTACTAAGAATGACAATAAGTTTATAATTTCCAAGTGGTAAATCCAGCCCCGTGGAACACTGTCCCACACCCCAGAAAATCATTTGTAGCTACTCAGGCACCAGCACCACACTTTCTGCACCATTGGTGTTTACTCTCAACTTAGAGGTTCTGGTTCTTGCGTACCGTCATATTTCAGTACCACTTAGGATAATCTCCAAGTTAGCAAGTGCAAATGTCAAAAAGTTTCAACTCTACCGATAATGGCTAAATTTGTGATCTTTCCTCTTCTTCCCTTCCTAAAAATGTGGTATTACTGGCATTCTCAGAGTTCTTAAATTATTGCACACTATTAAAAGACAGTTTGCTTGACACCTCTGCGTGTTGATTCTCTGCTTGAAGACTTAGCACTTGTGTTTTTCAGTAACTTCATAAATTAAATTTCAACTTGATTGATATTAATAAATTTACATTCATCCAAAACTAAACTTTGGTTATAGTAGTTATAATTTTACGTGTGTGTGTGTCTACATACATACATACATATATAGTTCTCTATATTGGTGTGAGCCTGAAAGATGCAGGCCTCCTTTTCTTTTTTTGCTGTGAGCAATAATTCTTCCACCAAGTACAATCCAACATCAAAGAAAATGACAAGGAGATCAGAGTTGATTTCTAATATCGATTTGAGCACCTGTAACATCTCCATCTGAAGCAACTCTATGTCCAGCCTTACATATGATTGAGCCTACCTAAAACCCAATTTAGTGTCCAGGTCCATAAATTAGGTTGGCTGTAACTTGCAAATCAAAGAAACTTGTAATTGATTCATGTTACTAAAATAGGAAGGAAGCTGCAAACAGGACAAATAAAAATCGATAAGCATTTATTAGGTCCAGAGAGAAAACTGAGAGACTGAGGTATTTGTTTTAATAAATCATCTGCTTCTGACAAAACAAGGAGATAGAAAGTACTGAATGATGACAAATCCTTAGCCTTGAATTACAAAACTAAGATTACTAAGCAGAAGGAGAGGGGAATAGGTGGATTTAGAAGGAATTTAAGGACATTGGTGGAGTCTTGGGCACTTTGGTGGTTGGGTGCAGTAACTGTACATTAAACCATAACTTAGCACTATTGTAAACATATCACCTAAATTATATATATATACATATATATTTATTTATTTAAAAGAGCTTACTTCTGGCTTTTCTGAATTTCTGAATTTCTAAGTCCACTAGACAAAGTTCAGTACCATCATCAATAGTATTTCACTTTTTTTCCTGAGATTACCAAGACTCTTCCTTTGGCCACGGAATAGTTTGCCTCACTACAATTTGGGAGAAAGCAAAAAAAAAAAAAAAAAAAAAAAAAAAAAAACTGGGAGCCCTTCTGTTGTAGAAGAGGCAGAAAACTTAGGTAGAACTCCTTAGCAAAAGGGACAGAGCACCAAATTAAAAATTAACTACTTCCCTGGCCATGAGCTGGTCTATCTTGAATATCTCTGAACAGTCCGAAGGGAAATGCATCTAACTGCATATACACCAAACCCCATATGAAGCATCTTTGCTGCTGCTGGCTGCCAGAGACATCTAAATGGCACCCCCGCTTCCAGTAAAATGCCTGGCTAGTGAGACATGGATGGCTTCCCGTCAGTGCCATATGGAAAAGGCAAAAACCTAGACATGCATGAGGAGAACCAGTTACCACATTTTGTGCTCAGTCAGGCCTACCACTTGTTTGGAAGCGGTTGGATATCAAAACTGCTAGTGATCCTTCACAAATAGGAGTTGGGGGGGGGACTTCACTGATGGTCACTTCACTCAATGCAAGTCACCAAAAGCACAAGCAAGGGGACCCCTAGTCTTCCAGTCTTAGTGCACAATCAATGTCCGCCCAGAATGCCACACCACTTCCAGAGGCCTCTCCCACACTGCAAGAAATCCCATTCTGGGAAGGAGCCGGCTGGCTGGGGTGGGCTATCTTATTGTCCCTCCACCCACCCATCCCCCTGGAATGGCACAATGGAATGATTGTGTTCCCTGTTGAGGACTTCCCTTCTAAAACATAAACAAGCAAAGGTTTCCCTGATCTGACCCATATTCAATAGTGGATGAAGGCAGCCCGTCCTGGCATGGGGAGAGAGGGACAGGAAGCAGGCGGGTGAGCTGGACTAAGCCACAAACACGCGTTGACGTGCTGAGGTGGATACAGGCATCTGAGCCTGTGTGGGAGAAGGGGCAGCCCATTGTCCCATGAGTGTATGGTTCTGAATTCCTTTACTGAGGTGCTCTTCTTTGGGGGAAGGTCTGGCAGGCTTTTTCAATGTCTTTCAAGAAGTTAGGAACTCCATTCTGCAAGGCAAAAGAGACAGTCAGGTTCATATCCTTAGAGCCATTGCACAGGATTCTTTGGGATGTGACAAGAGGGGAACAGAGATGACTCGGGGAATACTGAAGGAAAAGGCCTCTGCCCAGATTTCAAAAGTTCCAAAGAATGTTTGTCACAGATAGGGGCAAAAAGTAAGACCCAGGACACAGGCCAGAAAAGGCATAAGCGGGCATTGATACAAGAAACTGCCTTAGATTTCAGTTCTTGTGAGTGAAAAAAAAAAAAAGAAGAAGAAAATGAAAAAGAAAAGTCTGTTTCAGAGACACTGACTACTTTTTAAAAAGAGAAAAGGGACAGGAGGTGGGACTGGACTGAGTTGCAGGACTCTGCCAAAAAAAAAAGGGAAAGCAAAAAAAAAAAAAAAAGAAAAGAAAAGAAATTCCTTACTGAATTAGAAAATGGTAAGGATTTGGCGGGGGGTTGGGGGGGGGGGTCAGGGTAGGACAGACTTAGTTACTATCAAGTTTTGTACAAAAATTTCCCCAAACTTGATCTAATTTACTTTCAGTTCATGTGCTAAGTTATATCTATCTCTACTTTTTAAAGGGGATACATCAATGTTTTCCCTAGATGACACACACTGTCAGAAACAGGGGCTGGAATTCAAAATCGCATGAGTTTGACTCCAAGCCTATGTATGAGCTTTTTCACTCTCTCCAGGGCTCTGCTGCACCCAGCCAATATGTGGGATTTGTCCCAGCCAGGCTAACGAGCCCCACAATTCCAGGCTCGGAGGCATTCACTAGTGACGTGAACTGCCACTGCAGTTTCCTTTCCTCCAGAAACACAAAACCACCCTAACAAAACCAGTGGCTTCCCTGGGGCCTGGACGCGTCTGGTTGTCTCCAGAGCCAGTCTGGTCTGTCTTACTCCTTCCTAAGCAGAGATGGAATCCACAGGCACTATTGTTCCTCCAAGGAACAGACTATTGTCCGGAGGTTCCAAAGAGTGATTCTGGCAGGGAGCTGGGGCATTAGCAGTCCGGAGGGCCTGGCATTCCAGCCAACAATCCTTTGTCTTTTGTTTCAGCCTCCATCCTGGGTGTTGGCAGCCCCAGTCCTCGCTGGAGTCACTCAACCAAGCTGCTTCATAAAAGAGCCTCATTAGGCCTGAGACAGTGTGTCTCTGCAGCCCGACAGCCCCATGGGTTAAGTCAACATTTGTCAAGCACACTTCCCCCTCCTGCCCCCTGGGATCTCACCTTGGCTGCCCAGTTAATGAGCCAGGACGGAATTTGGCCACCCGGGTTATCGAAGTAATACATGGAAACTAGAGAGAGAAAGAAAGGACAATTGAAAAGGAAGAAAAAATGTTTTAGAAGGGTCCAGCCACAAACCCTGAGAGTTCTGCTTCTTCATATTAGACCCAGAAAGTAAGAAGTATCTAAAAGATAATGCAGATTTTTTTCTCTCTCCCTTGCCTACTTTAAAGGACAAACACACAAACACATACACACACACACACACACAAATATATATCCTTTCATATATATGTATAATATACATTATATATATTGATATATCAATCACAGTCACAAGCACAGTCAGCAGTTAAACACCTGGAAAATAGCAGAAAATTGGGATATCTCTCCTTACAATCCTAAAGGGATACATAAATTAAACCCACATTTATAAATAATAAAACAGAGACTCCAAAAAGTGAATCTCTTTTCTCTCAAGGTGACAGATGGAAGAAGCATCAGATATGGTGTTCACATATTCAGATCTGGCCTGAGATGTAGGCTATCTTCATTCCAGACAGCAAGTGGCTGCCAACCCCATTCGCTTTTCTCCTTGAGGACAGGAACTTGGGACTATCATGAGAATGCACCTTCATGAACAGACACTGTCTTCTGACAGTTTCTGACAGCCTCTCATCTACCCCCAGGCTTGGCCAAGACCAGCCTGCCATGACTCTCCAAACTTTCCACTCTGCTGGGCTCTTCTTATTTCATCTGAACAACGCAAGCATTCACCAAGAGCAGATGAACACCAGGCAAGCACCTGGCCCTCTAGCCCAGTTGGGAAGCTGCAGGGGTGAGTCATCTCTGATCCATTAGTATAGGGCTCATTCTTCGACCTCAGAGCAGGGGCAAAGCTTCCATCCTTTGACCTGCCTGCAGTCAGCACAGCCTTGAGGGAGGGACCAGTCTTTACCTTTACTCCCCTTCTTGCCATCACTCATAATCGCCAGGCTCTGCTTGAATTTCTTCACCCGGATCACACCCGATCTCTCAGCAATCTGTGGTACAGAGACGCTCTGCGACAGGATCACATAGATCTTGTTCCCATCTATATCCAGGTCTCGCCGCTGCCGGATGTAGACATACTGTGCCTCTAGTCAAGGCATGCCCTCCACACCTGCATTTCAGACTTACACAGACATGGGCTCCAGAGCCCAGAGCCAAAAAGTGTGATACGAAACCACCCACATGGCTTCTACTCCCTCTTGCCATTACTCACCTATTCTGCTTCTCTTCCAGAACTGTAAGATAGTACCCCAACCACTAGGATTCTGGTTTCAGAGCATGCCTTACCTACTTGCCTCTATTGCTTTTAATCCTGGGAAGTGGAGGGGATCGAGATACTCCCTTTTCCCCAGAAGGCATCATGATACATCACTGCTCCCTTCCCAGCAGGGTGGGTCTAGGTTCATCAACCTTTTCTGAGACTCAGTTTCCCAACCCAGGAGAAAAAGTAACTAGGTGGGGCAGTGGGGGCAGGGCAGAGAAAGCAAGGAGCTGAGTAAGCATGTGATAAACAATGGTCTTACTCCACTGTGTCCCTCTTTTACTCAAAGCTCTGATGATCAACTAGGCACAGACAATGGTTAAGCAATGTGACTTATAGCAGGTGTCCTAACGGCACTTGAATATTTAGTACACAGATATCCACTCTGGGTTAACAGTGATTCACCTAAATAGCAAAGCTACTTCATCTTAATAGACATTCACAAAACAACCACAGGGTGCTATTCTAAGAAGAGCAATTAATTCCTGACAAACAATGAGGACATTTAACAAGTCTTTACCATGGCCTGGGCTGGAGTGATAGCACAGCGGTAGGGCATTTGCCTTGCACGCAACTGACAAGGCTGACCTGAGTACGATTCCTCCGCCCCTCTCGGAGAGCCCAACAAGCTACCGAGAGTTTCTTGCCCACAAAGCAAAGCCTGGCAAGCTACCTGTGACGTATTCAATATGCCAAAACAAGAAGTAACAAGAAGTCTCATGATGGAGACGTTCCTGGGCCGCTCGAGCAAATCGATGAACAACGGGAGGACAGTGACAGTGACAGTGATACTATGTCGTGTATACTGCAAAACTTTTACATATAATATCAGTTTTGACGCAAAGTCTCTCTAAATTTGATATAAGCAACCCCATCTCACAGATGTCAAAATTAAGGCTCAGACATGTCCAAGAAACTTGTCAAAAATCCCAGACTTCAGCTAAAGTAATGAAATCTCAATCCGAACCCAGACCCAAGCTCCCTAACTTTCATAGCCAGACAGGGCTCAGCTCTTTTTAATATGTTCATTATACTTTCAAATGGTAGAACTTTAGGTCTTGCACAAGAAATGCCTGGACCAATCAAAAAGCCTTCCTAACACCATTATACTTGCTGTAACACAGAAACAACCCCAACCCCATGCCTCCTCCAAGTCTCTATGGAACCCACAGTAGCTTCCACCTTTCACTCAAGCACCCTATAGAGGTACATAAACACTAGATCTTCTATTTAGACTTCTCTCCAGGTACCAATGAGTCAGGTTCTTAAACGTTTTAGGGAAGAAATGATGTGGCTTGGAACTGACTTTCCTCTCTTCCAAGCTTTTAACTTTTTCCCTAGAAGAAAACTTGTCCCATTCTCTCCCACACTGGACACAGCTCGTGTGTTGGCCACCTTCTGCCACATTTTTGAGGGAAACTTAACTTGATCTATTGATGACAACTGACAGAAGTCTTTGAAGGGCTGGAAAGTCTGAGTGGCATATAACACAATTCCCGAAGAACTTCAAGTTCACTGTGGGCCCAGAGATTGAACAAATACTCTAACAAACCAGGAAAGGAATATATTCAACCTGGGTTCTATCACTCCAAAACAAATCTTCTTTTCTATTTCACGAGTCTCTGTTCTCAAGAATTTAACAACCCTGGGGTGTGGAGAGACAGCACTGGAGTTAGGTATCTGTTTTGCCTGCTACCAATCCCTGCTCAATCACTGGCATAGCAAAGTCCCTAAGTATTCCTGGATGGATTCAACTGTGGAGGTCCCTAGGTGTCCCTAAGCACTGGCAGGGTGGTCTGGGTAAACTCTAGCACTGCGGAGTCCATTCAGCAATGTATCCTCTGGCCTTTGCATTGAACCACTGGCCCAGTTAGCTGAGCACCACTTGGGAAACCATTACCCCCAAAGACTTTAACAATCCCATTAGAGAGTCAAAACACACATATGGGAAGATTAAAGACTCACTATGGAGTTACTAGCACTGGAAAGATACCAAAAAGAACTTTAAGGAGCCCCACATGTGTACTAGTGAGAAAAACTCTTCAGTCAGGTTCCTGTGGGATCCAAGAGGTGGGACCATGCTCTGGTCAGGTTCATTGAGTCCAGAGAGAGCTGAACCTGAACCCCAAACCTGCTTCTACCACTCACTATTTGTGAACCGCCCAAAACCCGTTTCTTTCCCTCAGTTTCCAAAATTAAGATGACGATTCCCACTTTGCACAGTTGATGGCAGGACTAGAGGAAACCACATAAAGTCTAAAGGATTTCTGTTGTTGTTGGTGGTGGTGGTGTTTTTTTTTTTTTCCTTTTTGGGTTACCCCTGTTGATGCATTACTCCTGGCTCTGCACTCAGGAATTACTCCTGGCGGTGCTCAAGGGACTATATGGGATGCTGGGAATCAAACCCATGGTGGCCACGTGCAAGGCAAATGCCCTTCCTGCTGTACTATCACTCCAGCCCCAAGTCTAAGGATTTTATAAAAATCTAGAAGAAAACCAAATATTTGTCTAAATGTATATAGTATACACATATATTAGCTAGTGGGATGTGAAAATTGTGCCAAAAATAAATCTTTAGGGAGTTTATTATCTAGAAGGAGACTAGGATAGATATATATATATACTTACAACACCAGAAACAGGTAACACACACAAAACATATCCCCTATCTCAAGTATTTAGAAACAAATTGTGCTTTGGCAGAGCTAAAGAAGATTCCTGTGATAATATAATTCAATGATTTAAATCCAAAAGACTCTGCTAAGATGCTTTTGCATAGAAACTCACTGTGTAAATCACTCAGCTGCTGTGATTGAAGAAGACAGTGAAGGAGTTGAAACCTCACTCCCAGCTGCGCATCCAGCAAATTTCTATCCTGTCCTCCCAGGCTAGTGTTAAGGGGATTTCTGAGACCCTTGAAAAATCAATTAAATATTACTTCATTCCACTCAGTTACTTCATTTTATAACTAAGGAAAAGGATGGGAAGGAAGAAACATCCAGGGTCAAGAGTTAAGGATCACCCTGGGGTCAACTAAAACAGGAGGCAGGGGGATAGATGGTGGTGGTGACAGAAGGAAGCAGAAACAAGAGGCCTGAGTTCCTGTCCCCAGCCGCCACTTATCTGTCATTTATCTCTCTGGGTTCCTACTTCCTCCTTTATGGATATGAATATATGAATCACCCCTTCCCAAGAGTCTCCTCAGTGCCCCGATTCTGTGACTCAACAGTTTCAAGTCCTAGCAAAGTTCTCAAGAAAGTATGACTTTCTTTCCAATGAAACTCTCCACCATTATAGAAGAAAGTGACTAGGCCCAGAAACCACACTCTCACAAATGCAAAAGGAGCAAAAAACTCTCACAGGTCTTTCTGGAAGAACCATCTGACATTGCTTTCCACACCTGCTGAAAAACCAGCTCCACAAACACTGGGTGATGGAATACCAAAATACTCAGAAGGCCAAGTAACCGCATGTGGTCCAGAAGGATACATCTCTGTTGGACAGGGGAAAGGGGTACTTCACTTCCCAGTAGATCACGGTCTTTCCGTCGACTTCTTTTTCATAGAGTTCTAAAGAGGGAGGGGAAAAATGAATTTAGAAACCTCCAGAAACCTCTTGAGGTCCAGTAAACAAGAAATCTAGATATGACAAACTCTACCGCATAATAATTCACTAACTTCCAAGGCACAAAATTCTAGACAAAAGTTAGGTAGATTCATTACCACCGAAAGCTTGTTATCCAGAGGTAAATCCTAGTAGAAATCAAGATGAAAAATAAGGAATTAGGCCAAACTTGTAGGGCACTGGCAAGCGTCTCCGAAGGCAATGAAACAAACTCAGGGATCCAAAAAATTCAATTTCAGAGGGGTTTTAAATGAGAGTAAACCACCAGGTGGCACTGCAGTACCAAAAGTTCTGATTCTCAGCTCTCTTTTCCCTTGTGACAATTAACCCCTTCCCGTCAGTCTGCAGCCAGTCACCCAGTCCAGTAGGTTCAGATGGAAATGAAGGTTCCAGAGCTGGCAGTGTATTTCCTGACAGTTAGAAAGGGGCAAGGCTGCTAGAAACACGCTAACCCTAAGTTTCTTACTTCTCACTGTCTCTTTATATGAGAACCAGGCATCTGGGACCAAAATCATACACTTATGTACATACAGCAGCTCACTCTTGCAGAGAGAGCAAGAGAGATATGAGATTTTGTGACATCCATATCCAATGTTAGCTCCCACCTAACCACTGAAGAATTGCTGAGGAGACACTGACACAGGAAACTGGATTTTTTTCATTTGGAATTTGAAGAAAGCCTTTAAAAAAAAAAAAAGCTTTTTGGGTCATTCTTGGTGGTGCTCAGGGGTTATTCCTGGCTCTGCACTCAGGAATTACTCCTGGCAGTTCTCAGGGGACCATATGGGATGCTGGGAATAGAACCCAGGTCGTTCGCATGCAAGGCAAATACCCTACCTGCTGTATTACCATTCTGGCCCCAGGAAAGCTTATTAAAATCAGGCCACAAATTCCACAGCTTGCCAACCCATGGTGCCACGGAGCAAAAGTCAGCCCTTATAAAGAAGGAAAGCAGGGGAGGATATGTCCCTGTTGGGAGGTTGCACACTGATTCCCCTTCCCATACCAGAGTCTAAGAAGTTATCCCTCAGGACAGCTTCCTTCTCCTTGACTATATGGTTCAAGAAGGAGGACATTGACATTAACTTCAGGGATAATGAGCAAACCTTGGTGATTGTGCTACATCTAGGTAGAGTCTTAGCTGACCACTCTGGAAATCGAGATCAGACAAGTGGTGCAGAAAAGATTCCAAGGAAGCTCCAAAATATCCAGGAGGAGCACAGTTAACTTTTGAACTTCCAGAGTTCTTCAGAGTTCTAAAGTTCCAGCTTTAGAATGTGGCAGAGAAATCATGTTTTTGCTACTACTGGACCAAACACCATGGTTCAAGCTGATGATGGCAAATTCAACACAGAAGAGGTCCTGGGATGGTTCACTCCAAAATCAGATATCTCAGCTATGACCGTTTCTGGAGAAAAGATTTTTCATGCTACCTGTCTCCTTGCATTGCTTTACCCCCCACTGAAGCCACATATACACCTTATTGGCAGTATCTTATTCCATGATTGAGCCAAGGTTGCTAGGGAGGTTGGAACAGAGAACACCTGACTTCTCCCTCAGATAATAACAAAAATCTCCGAATGGGAGATTGGGAAGGGTAATGGCTCTTGGGTTGCCCAAACAATGACAAACGTCCACAGGGTATAAGCATGTGATCCAACGGATCTGATATGAGCAAATCCATGACTCTGGCTACCATCAGTACAAAAGTGGTATTCTCATCCCTGTTCCTTCCAGGTTGTTTAAATAATTAGAATATAAGCCTGGATCTTCTGGTGACCATCTTAGCCTTGACTGAGGAATCTGCCTAAGAATTAGGTCAACACATAAGAAACATCTGCTTGGAAAATTGTTTTAAGCACTGGATGCAGCTATCCTGGAAACCAGAAATCCATAGACTTTTCAATGCAATGTACTCATAGTCTCTCTACGTTTTCCATACTGGAATCTTAGTTCTCTGTTACTTGGCAACCAAGAGATCTGACTTTAGTAGGAGTTTTTCCAGTGTTTCATTCCCTTGATGCTTCAGTTCCACTGTGGTTGAAACTGCAGAGTCACTCATAGCTTTAAGAGGGAGGAAGAGCCTCCACTAATGCCTTTCACTCACTCTCCACCAGTTACATCTAAGAACTGTAGCTTAAGAGTGACCATGCTCAAGATTAGTACCAGGAATTTTGCTCCATGGCTTTGAGGCCAGTCACACATGCTAGGGGAAAGGGGAGCTCAGATAGAGAAGGGAGCACCAAATAAAGGGTGTTGGGAGGATCCTCCCAGGATGGGAGAAGCATGCTGAAAGTAGACTATAGACCAAACATGATTGCCACTCAATGCCTCTTTTGCAAACCACAACACCCAAAAGGAGAGAGAGAACAAAAGGGAATGCCCTGCCACAGAGGCAGGGTGGGATGGGGGTGGGGGGTGGGGGGTGGGAGGGATACTGGGATCCATGATGGTGGGAAATGGGCACTGGTGGAGGGATGGGTATTTGATCATTGTATAATTGAAACCCAAGCACAAAAATTTGTAAGTCTACAACTGTACCCCATGGTGTCTCACAAATAAAATTTTTTTTTTAAAAAAAAAGAGTGGCCATGCTAGGGACTTGGGATTTGGGATCTGGATGTTCCTTCCATCCCAGCCCCAGATTCTGCTTCCCCAACAACCCAACTATACCAAATTGCTTACTGTTTATGAATATATCATGATTTTCATTAAAATTTTCCTGAGCCTGGAGTGCCCTAAACTACCTATCTCCTTTCTCCCCTCTTTACATAGACGTATTTCTGCCATTTACAAATCTTCAATTCAACTTTCAAAACACTGCCTAAACATCACCTCTTCTAAGAAGCTTTCCATGATTACCAATTTATCCGGCATGATAACCAACTTAAAATGGGAACATGGGCAGAGATATAGCTCAGTGGTAGAATACATACAAAAACATAGAAAGTAGAGACTAAAATTAAGAGTATACAAGGAACAAATCCTAGGAATAGTGGTAGAACACTTCATCTTAAAATGGAGCATAACATAACAGAAATTACAACAGTTGCTTCTGCTTAGTAGAATAACAACAGATTCAGCACTCTAATGGATTAAGAAACAAACTGTAGGTATCACTCACCTTTAACATACAGGTCCCACTGTTTTCGGTACTCTAAGTCCATATAGACTTCGGCCAGCAGAGATGGTGGACAGTCCTCCAGAGTACCTAAGACTTTGTACTCATAAAGTGCGGATGACTGTGAAACAGAACAAGCAGAAACAGTCCAGTGATTTCCCCATTGTGAGAAAGCTGGATTCCACCATGTAAGAAAAAACAGCTGAGGATGAGGTAGTCACATCACACACTGATGTTCGTGTCACAACAGTAAAAAAGCAAATAAAAGCCCCGATCTCAGGAGGCCTCTATTTCACTGTAAGTTGGTGGCAGTGATAACTACAAAAGCCATCCTGGTGATTAGGATTTAATAAGGATTCAGTGATAAATGGTACATGGTCAAAAAAAAAAATGGCCCACAGGAAGGTTAAAATGATCAAAAATATTGTTATAAATATCAGAAGTCAGTCATGAAATGTTAAATAAAGTCCATTTCTGGCAGGAGAAAGCCCTGAGATAGCATCAACAATCAGAACATTGGGGGTCCAGAGAACAGAGAATGGGGAGAGTATAAAGAGAGAGAGAGACAGAGACAGAGAGAGACAGAGAGAGAGTGGGAGGGTGGGAGGGAGGGAGGGAGGGAGGGAGGGAGGGAGGAGGAGGAGAGGGAGAACAAAAGGGAGAGGGAGAGGGTGAGCATGCTTTGTAAGTTACAGTGGTAAGGATTTTGCCTTATCTGCTTGGAAAACCAATGTGCACATTTAAACAGGGTAAAAGAACATTTAAAAGAGATGACTTATGCTACTTGGTAGGAAAAATATCATAGTGGAGGAAGAAGACCAGTGCAATGTTTCAATAAAAGATGGCAATGATTTGAATGGACAGGCAAGGACAGTGGTGGAGAGAAATCAGTGAGCTAAGGGTATGTCTGGGAAGCAATGTCAATAGGAGTTGCTGACAGTCTGGCTGTTGGGAAAGAGACAGCAGTGAACTGTGGATGAATCCAAGAATCTTTGAGGAACCAGGTAGGTGGGAGCTGTTTTCTAAGACAGCAACTTTCCAACATGAGCATTCGGTGCTTGCTAAACGTCTAAGTTGGTGGACCATGTAAGCAGCTAGCATTACTATTTCAGGCATCCCTGGGGGCATAATGACACCCAAACATTATTTCATCAACCTTATTCATTCCAAAAGAGAAATTTTTTTAAACAATTACTCTTTTAAATGAAAGATAAATAATAATAATACATATAAAAAGACAGAAAATCAGGAAGAAACACCAGGTTCAAATAAAGAAATCCCTCTCAGTCAGAAAAATTCCCATTTTGGGCCGGAGTGATAGTACAGAGGGTAGAGTGTTTGTTTGCCTTGCATGCGGCCAACCCAGGTTCGATCCCCAGCATCTCATATGATTCCCCAAGCACTGCCAGGAGTAATTCCTGAATGCAGAATCAGGAGTAACCACTGACATCCCTGGGTGTGACCCAAAAGGCAAAAAAAAAGAAAAAAAATGCCCATTTCTAGATTCTTAAATGCAGAGTTTCCTTGATTTCATGTTAAGTCAGAGCCTGTCTGAAAGAGTGCTGCACCGGAGTTGGTCCTGCTATACATTTCTCTTTGACTAGAGCAATAACATAATTACTGATTAAAGGTTATTATGATCAAGGCAATGGCTCTTCATTTCAAGGCAAAAGTGAACAAAATAAATAGATTGAAGCCATCTTCTTCTTAACACCACACCAGACACTTAGGTGATGTTAAGCAGGAGCATGGTGAATCTGTGTAGTTTTTTTTTTCCAGAAAGGATTTTATTAGCTTAACTTCAGTGCTCAGTAATACTCATTTTGTATATACTCTTTTTGTATATACTAATTAGAATATAGCCTTGGAAGGCACTTATAATGCAAAGTCAAACTTTTCTGAGGGAAAACAAAATTGCTTCGAAGCTCTTCTATCTCCTGCTAATGGGTGTGCTGGACGGAGTTCATCAAGCTGCTAAGAAAAAAGACATGAATATAAATGACATAGTTCTAAACATGGAGAATCTTCCTGGAGATCCTTAGGCGTTATGGTTTTCCAACTCAGTTAACCAAGTAGTGTTAACTCTGAAATAAAAACATCTCAGTATAGAAATCTTGGATGTGTGGGAAGCTAGGGATGGGGGTAGAGAGTGGAGATACTGAAAGGCAAAGCCAAAATTGAATTCCTACAGCCTTATAGCTCTAAAAGTATGTGACTTACACTCAGGATGCCCAGCAATGAGAATCTAGTCGACCAAATGTGTTACAGGTTGTGCCTTGGGTATCTCTATGGAGGGCAGACCTGGGGAGAAGTCTCTTTTTCTATGAAGAGAACTAGTATGTATTTGTGTGCAGGAAGGAATGTCCCACACACAAATACATACACTTATTCCCACAGATTTCAATACACCTTGGAACATAGCCAGTTAGCCCCTCGTTTAGGAAAGGAGGGTGGGTGCGTTTTCTACGTACACTGAGCAAAAATATGTGTTGAGATCATTATCTCCCCAGCCTTACATGAATTAGGTTTGGTTATCTGGATAAATTAAGACCTACTGTTTCCTTAAACTGGGTTCCTTTTCCTCCAGAATGCAGTCACAATCTTTAGTGACCTCAGTCCTATACATGTCACAGAAAAGAAAAACAGAAAGTTCTCTAGGAAAAGAAAAATAGAATGACATAAGTACGCGAACACAGAAGAATGACCTATTGTGACAACTTCCTTTAAACACTCCCTTTGTGGCAGAACTGAGAAATGCCAGAACTCCAGAGGAACAAAATGCTCAGTAACACCTTTCCTAAGATATCAAGAAAATGTACTTTTCAAGTGCGGAATAGCTCCACCCAAATTCTTGGATCAAAGCACTTTCTCATCCATGGTTCCTTTTTAAAAAAGGATCACTGCAAACATACTTGCATTTTAATGTTATCTTTTAAAAACACGGAATGAATTTTTTTAAAGATCACCAAAATAATTAGAAAATGCCAATAAAAATAAAGAGAAAACACAGCATGACTACAAATAGCTTTTTTTTTGACATAGGTCTTTTAAATAAACATATTTACAAAATAAATACCTTGTTTTAATAAATAACAAATACAAACAAGTATTCTTAAATTACCACATTGAAAATAGTATGGTATAAACAAATTGCATTCTTGGGGGCAGGGTGGGACTCACAAGTAGTGCTCAGGAGGACTGGGAGTCACTTACTGCCTGTGGCGGCCTGTTCTGTAAGTCTTGTGCACTAGGGACCACCGGGGCCACACCCAGCACTGTGCTGGGGGGGAGGCCTCCAGGATATGGAGCTAAACTGGGAGAGTGGAGTGAACAGGGGTCAAAGCTTGCAGGAATGCACCTCTCCCCGCTCTACCAAGTCCCCAGCACCCACACTCTTTTTCTGTCTGTTTGTTTCTGGGCCATACGCAGCAGTGCTCAGGGCTTATTCCTGGCACTGCGCTCAGAGATCTCCTGGCAGTTGCTTGGAGGAACATACGTGGTACCAGGGATCAAATCCGGGTGAGTGTGTGCAAAGAAAGTACCTTAATCCCTGTATTATTTCTCTGGCCCCAGTAACTTTACTTCAAATACACTGCATCAAAGCTATGGAGATATCACAATCTTATGGAGCAATAGCACAGCGGTAGGGCGTTTGCCTTGTGCGCAGCCAGCCCAGCCAAGCCGGGTTTGATTCTTCAGCCCCTCTCCAAGAACCCGGCAAGCTACCGAGAGTATCTCGCCCACACAGCAAAGCCTGGTAAGCTACCCGTGATGTATTTGATATGCCAAAACACAGTAACAACAAATCTCAAAAATGGAGACGTTACTGGGCCTGCTTGAGCAAATCAATTATTTTTATTAACATTTCTAAATACTGGCTATAAATATTGTTATAATATTTTTCCATATTGATCAACTTCACCCAGAATTCTTTTCTTTTTTTTTTTTCAATCTTAAAACTTCCTTAGACATTTTGTGCTAAAGGGGATTACTATTTTACGAGCAATTATACTTGGTACAAATCTTTTTATTTTTATTTGTTTATTAGGGTTTTTTAACTTTGTTTTGGGGTCATATCCAGCTGTGCTCACAGCTTTCTCCTGACTCTATACTCTGGATCATTCCTGGTGGTACTCAGGGGACATTGCGGGGTAATGGGGCTCGAACCTGGAAGGCCAGGTGCAAGCCAAGTGTCCTACCCACTATACTATCTCTCCAGTCCCTGAACCTTTTGAAAAGTATAAAAAAGGTAAAGGCCCTCCCATTGATCGTCGATTTGCTCGAGCGGGCCCAGTAACGTCTCCATTGGAGACTTTGTTGTTACTGTGTTTGGCATATCGAATACTCTCGGTAGCTTGCCGGGCTCTCCGAGAGGGGCGGAGGAATCGAACTCGGGTCGGCCATGTTGGCCGCTTGTAAGGCGAACGCCCTACCCGCTGTGCTATCGCTCCAGCCCTAAAAAGCAGACAAGCAGGCCCCAGCGAGATTTGAACTCGCGACCCCTGGTTTACAAGACCAGTGCTCTAACCCCTGAGCTATGGAGCCGGCTGCTGGAGCGATAGCACAGCGGTAGGGCATTCACCTTACAAGCGGCCAACATGGCCGACCCGGGTTCGATTCCTCCGCCCCTCTCAGAGAGCCCGGCAAGCTACCGAGAGTATTCGATATGCCAGACACAGTAACAACAAAGTCTCCAATGGAGACGTTACTGGGCCCGCTCGAGCAAATCGACGATCAACGGGAGGGCCTTTACCTTTTGAAAAGTATGTATCAGTTTATACTCTGGTGAGCAGTAATGGTGCATCTCATCAGAACTGGATATCATTGTTCATACAATTTGATAAGAAACAAATTATAAATGTCAGCTTGATCTACGCAAATTTTTTTTATGGTTGATATGTAAACAACCTTAAAAATTAAATATGCAGGGCACAGAGAGATAGTACAGGGGCAAGTGTGCGCCTTGCATGAAACTGACCCCAGTTCAATGCCCTGTATTCCAGGGTCTTCTGAGTATCACTGGGTATGACCCTAGAGGCTCCCAAGAATCACTGGGGTAACCCACGTAATCCCCAGCACTGCAGGACCTGAGCAGCACCATATTCTTGGGTCTTAACACTG